ATCTGTCTGCTGCTTGGGATCTTGGTCCTGGGATCCAGAGAAGTAGTACCGCGCCAGCATCCGCTCCACGCGCTGCACGGCGCTGAAGAGATCCGTGAGCTCTTGCGCCGATAGGTCCGTTAGCCGCTTGTGCAGCGCACGCGGACACACGAGGACGTGGCCCGGGAGCAGCGGCTTCAGGTTCACGAGGGCGAAAGATAGAGGCGTTGTTAGAAAGACCTTATGTCATATATGTGAGTATCTTATATGTCCATAGCTCAAGGAGGTTCGCATACCTGCGTTGTGACTTCGAAGGGCCCAAAGTGAATGGGGCCCGCGGGCCTGCTGCTATTGCTAGTCATTATGCAGCGCCAGAAATATGGCTGCCGCGTTGATTGGTATACGAGGGTTTGAAATAAGGGTATCACTGGTCTTGTTCTTATTATCATCATGTGCTTTGTGAGATTAGTGCTTTCAGGTATGGTCTGGGAAGCTGCGATAGTGCAGCGAGTGGTCTGCGATATGCGAGTGTCGTGTCCTAGCACATTTTTGATTGGCCCAGGCACTGTTGACGTTGTTACCAGTCAGGTACGTAGCATCCACAACTCAATCCACCATTTTCCTCCTTTAAGGTATGACGTTATGCGTGTTGCGGTCCGGCATTTGCGTAAATAGTACCAGTACTTCATGTTATTAACGCTCATCAACAATACATACCTATGTACCTAAGTCTACTGTAGTATTCAGTCGCCCATATTGGAGGTTAGAACAGGGGCGATTCCTCCAATTCTTATTAAAGCTTTCATTAAGAGATGGTAGAATTTGTAAGCCAAAAAAGGTACCTAAGGGTATACATTGTCTTTAGTCATACCATATATACCTTGCTACCTGCGCAAGTTCTGTGATTATTAGGACTGAATAGGAAAGAAATCGATGATTTGTAAGCTGCGGGCACTCATGTTGAACCGGCTCTACTTTCTACAGTATTCAAGTTGATACCTTACTGAACATTTGATTTATCTTCAGTACTATTAGTGTACTATGCTGAGTTACCTTAATGTCATAGTATGAGTTGTAGGGATAATCATGCCAATTCGGTACGTGCAGCACTAGAAGAGTACCTAACCTAACCCAAGTATGTCGTGCGGGACGGTGCGGGTGCAGCTCCTCCAGGCTTCTTCGCATGACGGATTATGTAAGATGAATGAGGCCTTGACTCACAATAAAATGCCTGAGCAGCTAGTATCAAACTATGACGATAGTTAGCAGCTTGGTATTCACGGGTTATTTACGATTCTAGCATGGCCCGCTCGCCCGACGATAATAATAATGACGCCGCAGCGGGGACGCCGGCGGAGACTCCCAGCACGAGCAACTCTCAGGCTGCGCAGCCAGCGCAGCAGCCCACACACCTCCGGAGCTGTGTACTGTGCAGGCAGCGCAAAGTCAAATGCGACCGGCGCCAGCCGTGCTCTAACTGCATACGGGCCGGGTCCAACTGCGTCCATCCCCCGGGTGCCGGCAGGGCCGCCAAACGGCCCCGTCAAGCTGTCGACACCAAAGTGCTCGATAGACTTTCCCACCTGGAATCAACTATTAGGCGACTGCAGCAACAGGCCAAAAGTCGTGAGGCCGAGCTCCACGCAGCCTCCGACGAAACCGCATCGGAACATGCGTCATCCGCAGAGCCCCAAGCTCGGGAGAGCAAGGGCCCCGATGCGGGTCATGAGACCGACGCCTCCCCGGAATTAGGCCGTTTAGTTATCGAAGAGTCACAAAGTCGTTACGTCAGCAACGTAATGTGGGCAGACTTGACTGAGGAGGTTAGTGTTCCAGCTCCCCTGGCTCGAAATTGAGGGTTTGGGGCTGATATCATGACAGATCGAGCAATTGCGTGGGATGTTTCTTGATTTCAGTTCCAAGGACGACGATTCTACCCAGTTCGATGATAGCCCTCCGCTACACGACGAAGAGAACCCGACTCTAGGATCTTTAGGCACGAATGCTGCCATACTGGGGTACAGATCCCTCGCTCACTCCCTGCGAGATTTCTACCCTTCTACGGAGCTCTCTATGAAACTCTTTCACATATTCACAGAAAACGTTCTACCACTAGTCCGCATATTCCATACGACCAGCTTAGTACGTTTGTTCTGGGCTGCGGCTGCCACCACGGATCCCCTCGACAAAGAAACAGAAGCACTGCTCTTTGCCATCTATTACTCGGCCGTTATCAGCATGGACCCGGTTCAGTGCGCCCATGTCTTGGGAGAATCGCGCTCAGCCGTGGTCGAGCGGTACCGGTTTGCGACCGAGCAAGCGCTAGCGCGCGCAAACTTGCTGAATACGCAGAGCACGGTACTTCTACAGGCAGCCATATTGTATGTCTCGGTGTTGCGGTCTGATGACGGCACACGCATGGTCTGGTCACTCATCGCGCTTGTGTGCCATGTAGCACGCTCAATGGGCTTCCACCGGGATGGGACGGCATTCAATCTTTCACCTTTCGAAAGTGAGATGCGTAGACGCATATGGCATCAAGTCTGTTTGATTGACCATCGATCCACTGAATATCATGGTTATGAACCCGTCGTTTTTGACGAAACAGCTTTCGATACTCGCTGGCCTCTCAATGTGAACGATTCCGATCTTTCCCCCGATATGACTGAGTTGCCACCTGAAAGCGATGGTGCTACCGATATGACACTGGTCCACGTCCGATGTCACGCGCTGGAGATCAGCTATAAATTGAAAAGGTGAGTTCACTCATCTCATCCACCTGCTTTCCCCACGCCTGTGCCCAACTCTATTGCTTAATTGCCAGTTTATCCTATTCTATCTCATACATCCCACCTACAGTAGTGAATCATTATGCTTAGATAACTCTAAACTGATACCATTCCTAGAGCAAGCCGTTCCTCCTTTCAAGCACGTGTCAAAATCATGGATGAACACGATAAACTCGTCGAAAAGTATGTAGAACGGTGCGACCCAGCTCAGCCGTTACTTTATCTCGCCAAACAGATTTGCTATATAGCCGCACGGCGAGTCCGGACGCTTATGTATTACACTGAGCTAAAGGCCCGGAGACAGAAAGGAGAGGTCAACGCACCCCATACTAGTCCTGCTGCTAGAAATGCCGAGGGGTCCGGCTATGGTGGCCCCGAGTTTGAAATGGATAGCAAAACCTTACGAGACCATATTTTTGTCAATTCAGTCGACATACTCAAGAGGACAGCCGACATAATGCAAGACCCACGTTTTGAACGATGGACGTGGCATCTACAAATTTATGTCCAATGGCATACATTAGCCCTCGCTTTATCGGAGATTTGTATTCGTCCCCCGTCCCTACTATGCGATGCTGCTTGGGAATACGCAACCATGACCTACGACAAATGGCTGCTTGTCAAATATCGCGACAGCACGGAACGGGGAGATGATTTCGTCAAACCCATTGGCCAGCTTATTGCTCGAGCTCGGCAGGTGCGGGAAATGCAGCAGGCAGAAAAGCAGCAACAGCGACAACAGCGACAACCACACCACCAGACACCAACGGAAACGTCGAGGCTGGGAACCGGCAAATGGGCGGTGCCGGGGCAGCCAGTGCCATGCGACACGTCCGAAAGCGGCATACCGTCCAGTTTCGATGGTATTAATGCAACACATTCGAACGTTGGAACCTGTCAGGCAACGTCAAACCCCACGACCGTACCAACAACAGCCCCGTCAGATCTCCCACCTAATGACCCACCCCAGTTTGACATTGGCGACTTTGACTCCTTTCTGGAGATGGTGCCCGACGAATATCATAATGAATGGTTTGAGTCAATAGCACCAGGCAACTCGAACCCTCCCAACCATCCGCTTGGAATGATTCCAACAACGCATTTCTTCGACTCATTATAGGCTTGTGTTTCCCTTTCATAATCAGTCAAATGACTGACCTACGTCGCCAATAACTCAAGTAGTGTATTGACGCGCGAGGACGGAATACTCTGTGCAGCTCTGAGCTCGGGCCAGCACGCACGTGCTCATCATGATTACACGACGATCACGAAGGTCCTGACAACACCGAAGAAGAGCCAGGCTCAAATTAACTACGGTCAATTGGAGATTATTTGGTTTATATTAGATGTATATATACGTTAAGACTAGCGTACGACGGATCTTTGGACGCATCGCGAGATCATCTCAGCTCATCTCTAGGATTCCAGCCCGTCAAAGTCAATATTACTTTACCACTATGTAGGTAGTGAGGTAACAACGAATTGAGATTTCGCTTCAAACTGTATCCCGGTGCTAAACACACAATTCACCGAGAAGACATGAAATTGGAGCGTTAATATGAATTATATCCTAGTCCTCCCGGCCAGCTGTGCTACGATCAGATCACTTGATGTTTATTTGTTACCCCTATTGGACATCCCCAACCCTGCCGACTAAAAAGACAACAATGATACAAGGGTGCACAACCCGTTATACACAGAATGAAGAACTAGGGAAGCCGAGAATATTATTTATACGCCTCACAATATTGGAGCATATCATTTAGTGATTGACTGGAAGGGGCTGGTTTCACGTAACTCTCGATGGCTGTTGAAGCTGAATAATAAGTACATACAGCTTTGTTTGCGTCTCTTCCCCGTGTAAATGACCTTTTCCATATCCGATGCGATTTAATCAAGGAAATAAGTGTGCCTTTTCTCTGTGGACGTTGTAATATATGTTCCTACCTGGTACCCAGGTGAGTGTAGGTATGTGTAGCTTTGTGCCTCCGTAAGAAAAGGAGGCAGACACATACCCGTACCTTGGGTAGGACCAACCGATAGTGGCCAACTGGACACCTGCCTTTACGTACACAGATGCATGGAAGGTGAGGGTAGCACCGCCTTCCCTGTCTTGTCCCTTCCTGCACTATCAACGACCTGAAGTAGCTGCCTACTAGGTACCTACCTCTCTACCCACCTAGACTCCCTACCCTCACATTTAATCTTGTTTCTCGAGTTCTCTTGCCAACAACCGAATTGGTGTAGGGGTTAACATTCGGGATTCTCATCTTCTAAGATAGCTTTCCCGAGCCAGGAGTTCGAGTCTCCTATTCGGTGTTATCTGTTTACTTTTTTTCTCCCCCCTCTGTAGATTATAGAACACTCACACTGATTGCCTGAAATGCGTCTCCGGTTGTTCTACATGATATAACATTGGACGATACTACATCAAGAGAGCATAATCATGTTATGTCAAGCATTGTATTTAATGCATGACTAGGTGTTACAAGAAGGACTTGGCCATGCTTCACCAAACTGTCTCTATCTTTGATCATATAATCACTTCTTTAACTTAATATTCTTTTTCTCTGACCAGTACTTGTGAATTTAAGCTCGACTATGCTGTGTCATCTTTGAATTTTTTTCATAAAGACCTTTGTCTAGTTAATGGGCAAACGCGACAGGTCTAGAAAACAAGGACTCGCAGGCATCTGGCCAGACTTGAGCAATTATAGCAATATGACCACAACAATAGACTGTCACTATAGTTCAAAATATTTCTAAAGTATATAGATGGCAATCCTGGACGGTCGAAATTAGTTAACATTGTTTGTCCCGAAAACCAGTGCAAGAAAAACAGACAGACTCATAAGTATCTAGTATATCGATAGTTTGCCAAGAAAACACCAGATGGAGAAGCATATACATGACCGCTGAAAACTGCACAACCAGGGCGCCAGGGGCTGTGGACAGCTGAGACCTTAGTCTTCACTCCTTCACCGACTACGAGCTGAAAGTAGGTGTATTGCAACGAGCCTGACTTACCTGTCCAATAACAAGAGTAGCACTGCTTGTGCACAAAGCACGGTCATTGGATCACATCAGCCTTCTGAACTCGGCGCCGCCCTTAGGCAGCCAGAACTAATGTGTAATTCGGCACTAATGTAATTGAGGCTTACGCGGAGATGCGTTACGAGGTAGATTTTGCCTAGAGTTTGTCGGGAGCGGACTATGGCCAACCTTCCCTAAGATCCATGGCAAACAACAACACACTTAATGAGCACTCCAGGCATGAAAAATCCCATTCAGACACAACTTCTTGATCTGCTCAGGAAAAAGGTCGAATATTAGCGTGGTATTAGTTCGTGGACTGCACATTATGAATTTAAGTGTCTTTGCCATTATGATACTTTGAGCACTGAACTAAGAGGAGCACAGGGCAGTGTTTTCAATAGCTTATTGCTGTCTAACTATCATGTCCAATAACAATCACTACAACCCATGAATGTCACATTTACAAGTCATTAAATCAGAAATGTTCATAATATTATCAATGTCCCTAAGGTGCCAGACAAAGGGATACGGATAAAAAGCTGATGGTAAAGGGTGCAAAAAAACAGGTACCTAGATAGGTACACTACGTGTTACCCCTCACAGTGGCTGCACATCATGCATTACCTGCCTGGCAATGTACCTGCTAAGTACAGCCGTTTTAAATACAATACAACCTCAATGCTTGGAATAGCACCAATCACGATACCTGTTTCACATTAAATTATAGGAATTAGCATTTGAGGTATATTTCTTCCAGTTTATAATTGTCAAGTGCAATACATTATAGATATAAGCAATAATAAGGTTAATATCACCTGCTTCGCAGTATCTAAGTCTAGCCAGGTACTATATAAAAACGTTTAATTACGTTAACACAGTGTTATCTACCCAGCTTCCACTAGAGATCTAGACATTATAAATATTATAGCGGGAAAATAAATAAAGATATAATAATTGTTAGGCCTTATAATAATTATATTTTTTATAATAATTATAGTAAAAAATAATTATTATAATATTTAAATAAATCGTAGTAAATTACTCGCTTAAAATATATAAATTATAATTACGCTAAAATTTATTAATATTTAATAATATAATAGTTTAGCTATTTATTTTGCTATAAAAGCTGTTTATTTAACCTTAAGTATACTTTTATCGCAAAGTAAGCTAAACTTTTATAATTTTTTTTCTGGTTGCTTTATATACTACTGTTGGATTTCGCGTTTTTTAGCCTAAAACGCTCTTTGTGCCACTTATGGAAAGCTTTGTATTGGTGTTATTGTTGTATTTAGTTCTGCTTTATTTTCACTATAACGCGTACATTTTATCCCATATAAATTTAGTGTGTAACCCATGAATCCACTATTTTAGCCCTTTTCGGCTAGCCATTCGCGCTATTCGCGCTCTTTCTACGTATACCCCAAAGGCTCCTTTTAGTAGCCTACACCCCTGAATCACCAAATCCAACAAAATCACTAAATCCAACAACTACCTCACCTATATATTTCTAGCTAATTAAAGGCCGCTTTCTATACAATAATTGTTTTTAACAATTATTGTTTTTTAAAACTATTATTGTGATACAGCACAACCATTGTGTAGCCCCACAATTATTGTCTTCCTACACCTAGCCCCGCTACGGTACCTACCTACTTACTGAGTCTCTGCTCAGGTATGTCGCAACCCCTCCAAGCCATCCATGATTCGATGTTTCTTCATCGCACATTGCAGATAGTCGAATACTCCAAACCAAAAAAGTCCAGTTAGAGGTGGGCATCCCTACTTAGCAGACAACTTCAACTCTTTCATCCATATCGTTTTGTGTATTCAAAACCCACAACATCTTCCACAGGCATCTTAATGGTAGCTGGTTCCAGTATCACAAGCTTACGCTGTAGGTACTTTCCACGCGTCCCCACCACCACCACCACCACCACCACTGCCAGCTTGCCCGGCAGGGATACCGAACTATCTACCTACCCGCCCACCTGGTTGCCACGGACCGACGAATAGCTACCTAACATAAAAGCCAAAAGCTATATTGGGTCACGCATTCTGTCACCCAGCGCTGTCGAAAAGTACAAAGCCCCAGTGCCAACACACCTTCCTTACCCAACTTGGCGGTGTAGCTTTTGCCTCCCGTTCTCTGCACCGGCCGCTGCAGGCTCGCCGCGGACACACCTCAACGCCCCGCCTGTATCTATGAGTGACGAGCGAACACCGAACCGGCTGCAATTCCTTGTCTTGCACACCACACCACGCCACCCTGTTGATTCCAGACACCATGGACGAAGACATCGAGACCTTTATGAGCGTGACGGGCGTAGAGTCCCAAGACGTGGCACGCGGGTACCTTGAGATATCAGGCGGAGATCCCGCCGGAGCGATCCAGCTGTTTTACGACAACCCAGAGCTACAGTCGGGCTTTGGCCCTGCGCCGCCGTCTGCAACCACCGCGCCTACTGCCTCCTCGCACCACAGAGACTCCTCATCTCGCACTCGCAGCAGTGCCCGCACAGATCCGGCGAATTCTCGTGACATTATACAGATAGATTCCGACGATGACGACATCCTAATGCCTGATGATGATGGCGGCGACGACGACCACGACGATGTTGCCGCCGTGGCCAGAAACGCCCAGGAAGAGGAGGATGCCGCTATGGCGAGGCGGCTGCAAGAAGAGCTCTACGGGTCGGGCCCGGGTGCTGCAGATGATGCTGTGCGAGCTCCGATAGCACAGACAACAGAAACGCTGGCCGGTCCCGACCTACCATGGGGTGGCGTAGGCATCGACCCGATAGAGCAGCTAAGAGCACGTCAAGCTCGGCAACGGCGAAGTAAGCTCATCCCGGTAATTCTCGCCTCCGAATACTAATCCTGTCATAGCCCGGAACACCGGCAACCCTTTCGACCAAGCACCCTCAATATGGGATGATGCATCCACACCACCCCTACTGCCCACTACGCGACCCGACCAGGGCCCCTCCCGAGCAGCTCTATTACGCGATCTTTTCCGGCCACCTCACGACTTGATGAGTGACGCGACATGGGACGAGGCGAGAGATGAAGGCAAGGAAGATAAGAAATGGATCATGGTTAATCTCCAGGATCTAGACATATTTCAATGTCAAGTCCTCAACAGAGATGTGTGGAAGGATGAGAACCTCAAGGCGCTGATCAAAGAGCACTTTATTTTCTTGCAGTACGATAAACGCGAGCCAAGGGCTCAATCATATACCCAGCTTTACTTCCCGAACGGCACCCACGAGAATAGTGACAACTTTCCCCACGTTTCCATAATCGACCCCAGGACAGGCGAACAGGTCAAAGTGTGGTCGGGAATCCCGTTTCCCACGGCAGGCGAACTCTATGGAGACCTAACTGAATTTCTCGATCGCTATAGCTTAGCGGCAAACAGCAAGAATCCTGTTGTCCAATCAAAGCCGAAGCGTCAACAAATCGACGTAGGTCGCTTAACAGAGGACGAAATGCTTCGCTTAGCTCTACAGAACAGCCTAGAGAACCAGGATGGTTCGTCGGGATCGAATGTACAGGATCCGGACATGCTCACAAGGTCCAATGACGACACGGATAAGGGCAAGGGCAAGGCAACGAGCGAAGTAGTGGACCTCACGGGTGATGCGACACAGGCACCTGCTGGGGGCTCTGATAATCCAGCTGAGCTTGCCTTCGCCCAAATTCCATCCACCAACCACCATGTAGAACCAGAAAACAACCCAGCCACAACAACAAGAATACAGTTCAGACATCCCACAGGACGTATCATTCGCCGCTTCGCGATGGCAGACACAGTTCGTCGCATCTACGAGTGGCTAAAGGCAGAGCCGTTTGAAGGCAAGGAGGGTGTCATGTTTGAACTCAAGGCTATGCCTGCAGGCGCGGACTTGATCGACGAACTTGACAAGACGATCGAGGAAGCCGGCTTAAAACAGGGCACGGTCATGATTGAGTTCATTGAAGATTAAAAAACAAATAGGACAATCGTTCGGTTGTACAAGGTAGAGAATTGTGTACAGGACTATAATAAGGCATCGCATCATGACTGCGTTTGCAAGGTATCTGTTCTCTGGAAAGGTTCGGGAGAGAACATCGTTTCTTATAGATAGATGTTGCGGCGCCAACCGAGTTCCTTGTCGCTTAGAGATTCGGCATTCCTCATAAACTTGAGGTAGAGATATCCGGCGTTTCGTGCGAGCAACCAACTGATCTCCTTACTCTTGCTTCACGTCGAGTGCACCTACAATTAGCTTGTAATCCAG